TTTTTTTGTGGTACACGGGCCTCTCACTGTTGTGGCCTCTCCCGTTGAGGAGCACAGGCTCCGGACGCGCAGGCTCAGCGGCCATGGCTCACAGGCCCAGCCGCTCTGCGGTATGTGGGATCTTCCCGGACCGGGGCACGAACCCGTGTCCCCTGCATCAGCAGGCGGACTCTCAACCACTGTGCCACCAGGGAAGCCCAGCTGTGTAATTTTATAAAGTTTCTGCTACTTGCATTTCTAAACTAGAAAAAAAAAGTAAATAAAGCCAACCCATAAATATTCACATAATTGTTATCTAATGAGAAAGATTAAAACTATTTGGTAAAAAAAATTATTTTATAAATATAAAAGTTAATAACTATCCCCTTTTCAAATTTGGAAAAACTTTTCAGATATACCTAACTTTATGTAAAACCTGATATTTGCCATCACTGAAAGAGTATTGAATTGGTTAGATTGAAAAATGAATTGCTTTGTACTTTTAAGTCCTGTTTCATATTTATCTCATTCCTCCTCTCCCATATGTGGCTACGAGCACCATTACATCACCAGGTCATTATTCTAACCCTTCCTGCATTGGGTTAGGACTAGTATTAGAGGATTTGTAAGGTACTGTCCTGCCTTCTGAAGCACCAGAAGTAGAGCCCAACAGTTTCATTTAGAAATTATGTGATGAGGGATCTGGGCTGGTTTAATGGAGTTTTTTTTGCTCCAGTCAGACCTATTCAGACTGACTATGATCATAAATGCTAGTTTGAAATTTTAATTCTAATTTAATAATAATTCACAGCTTTCTCTGACAACAAGTGTGTGTTATAATTAGGTACAGACCTGTGAGTGCACCTAAGTATCTGTTATATAAAACATACGATATATATATATGTGTGTGTTTATATATAACATAATATAAATGTTCTAAATTCAGAGTGAATACTTCAGTGAGGTTTTCTTTTTAGATCAGAAAAGAGTGCTTTGAAAGTTATAACTTGGCAACTCTTTTCTGCTAAAGACATCTATAAGCCAAAAAGTTTAGGTTGGAGTGCTATTACCAATAATTCAGTAAGTCGTAGCAGTTATTTAAACTTGTATGAAAAAGTTAAAATCGTCCACTTAATGATATAAAGGTAACGGAAAGGGGGAACTACGAAGTATAGAATAACACTGACATATAATTTATAAACCGAGTGACCCTTCAGCTGATGACATCGTTTTTAAATCAAATTCTTCTCAAAAGGAGGAGATAATGTTCACATTCATAACTTTATCTCATTTGCAAAAATTTTTATTGCTTCTCAATTGTTAGACAAAATACTGTATGTAAACTTATTTTAATCTGTAGATATAATGATAATTTTATTACAAATAGGAATTTATCTTATACAAGCTAATGAGTTTTGCCTATTCAGTGTAAGGATGAATAGAAAAACGGTCAACAATTTTAACACATACCCAAGTACCTCCAAAAAAGTCAAGACACAGAAAAAATTCCAATTTTGAAAGCCAGACCTGCTACAAAATTTAAAGATGTGATTAACTATTCATCTTTCTTGAATTATTCCAATTGAAGTGGAAGTGGGCTGGAATTCATGATTTCTCTGGGGAAGTGGTACAAACACTTGAAATAGCAGAGACATCTCGGAAAACGTTTGGCTTAATGGTATGTGACAAATTACTTACCCTGAAGGGAGACATTGACTGAGGTCACGGGAGCTAGATGAATCCCAGATGTGACACATCTTCATTATATTTGACACAGGAAGCTGACACATAATTAAAGCACGACTAGAGATTATTTACTCCTTTTGGATTCTGTGGAAATATTCAAATCATACTAGAGTATTTACTAGTAAAAACGTTAAGGCTGTCATTAAATCATACTTAAGTATTTTCTTACAGTTTTACTTTCTTAGAAATGTCAAAAAGCCCCATCTTGAATGCTGGCGCTTAGAGCTTGACATTTTTCCATAGGGAGGTCAGCACATGCAACAGTCAGGCAGAGACCACTGGCCGGTCCTCATTCCCTCCAAGGCCACAGGATAGACCCAAGTGCAGGCCATCCTACAAGCCATGGCAGGCACCTCCCTGGATTGAGTTTAGGGCATGTTCAAGGCAAAACTATAAAGGTCTCTCCTACATATCCATCCTTTTTTTAATTGACCTTATACGCTGTATTGTGCTTACCAAGCCTGAGACGGTCGCTCTACGCTCCCCATTTTCTTTCTTTTTCCCTTCCCTCTTCTGGTGTCTCTGCCTCAAATTATATCCCACTCCTGGCAAGTACCTGCCTGAGTTCTTATCTCCTTCCACAGAGAGTGGATTATGGGTTAATCATACCATGATGCTCCATGCCTGTCAGAATTAAATCCAAATACTTTTTTTTAAATTGAAGTGTAGTTGATGTATAATATTATATAAATTACAGGTATACAGTATAGTGATTTACAATTTGTAAAGATTATACTCCATTTATACTTATTATAAAATATTGGCTATATTCCCCATGTTGTACAATATGTCCTTGTAGTTTATTTTATACCTAATAGTTTGCACCTCCTGATCCAAATTCTTTAACGTGATTTTCAAAGCCCTGTTCCCTACATACTGACCCAGCCAGCCTCGGCTTCCTACAGCTTTCCCCATCCTTCCTCTAACGCACCAGATTTCTTCAGGTTCCTCAAGTTGGGGTCACGTGCTTGCTCACCTCCAGGCTCTGCCACTAGCTGTCCCCCTGCTGTTCTGCCCAATTCTTCACTCCCTGGCACATGGAAGATATTCACATGCATTTCCTGAAAAAAGGCAGCAAGTAATTGATCAATTAATCCACTGATTAAATCAATCGACCTCTAGTAATATTTTAAGTATTACCTCCCTATGTAATAATGTCACCTTTCTGAATTGTATTAGAATTGTTGGATATATATATGTACATATTTTTGATAAGTATATATATCAATCAATAAATATATGCATATTTACTTGTTTGGTTTTGTGTGTGTGTGTGTGTGTGTGTGTGTGTACACTAAGAGAAGTAAAGAGGAAAAATAAAGCATTTGTTTTATCTGGGGTAAAAGGTAAAGGAAGTTTGCTACTTCAGATTGAAAAAGTTTATTAACCAATAAATTATTGATGATTATTTCCCCTAGCTTTTCTTTAAGAGTGTGTGCATCTGTGGCAGGCCAGAGCATTTCAAACACAATAGGTGAGCATATTTTCATTTTTCCACTCCTATACCATATCAAGAAAAGTCAACAGTAAGCGTTGCACAGACCATTTAAAGCTTTCAAAGGGCTCTTCATTAGCACCAAGATTTCTGTTATAAATATAGGAACTTCTATATAAACAGTCCTTGAATAATTGGTACTGTCTGTAAGAACAGACCTAACTTATGGGGGAAATGACTTTTTGTGTAAAACCATTATAAAGTAAGTTTTTTAGCTTGGGGAGTATTTTATCAAATCTTTGCAGCTCGTGTATTGTTTTTGATCCCAACTATGGAAAAAATGTTTCCTGAATAAGCAAGCTGAAATAGGAATTCATATCTCTGATAAAGCGCTACATTCACTGAATACTTTTCCTTTCTGGATTATATTTGCTTTATGTCTGTCCTTTAGGCCTGACTGCCGAGGTGCAGTTAGATTCCCTGAAACAAAAAGGAGCCATTAAACGCACGCTCTTC